TGCTGCAAGAGGTGCACATTTCGAACAAAATCTTCATTAAAAAGTTTATAAATAAAATAATTAAAATAATAAATTAAATATATTTTTTTCTTTTTTCGTGATTTCCTGCGAAACAAAGCAAAAAGGAGCATATGTCTATAGGACTTTTTTTCTTAGTTTTTTACTCCTCTACACGCTCCCGAAGTTTTGCCATTTAATTTGGAAACACCCTGTATATTGAATAATACATTATATTGTATCAAGATCGAGTTATTACAGCATATACTCGCGGAATAAAATAAAGATAACATCTGTATTAAAAAATAAATGTTTAACAACCAAGTTAATAACACGCAACCAACTAAATAGACTTGCAGCAGATTTGCCGATTTGCGTAGCAAGCATGGCCAAGACCAACTCCCTCTTCCCACGCTGTTTATTCGTTACCTCAGGGATGTTTATTTATTGCCTCAGAGATGATTGGATAGTAAAACTATGAACTTTCTCGTTATTGATTTTTGGCTCTGATACAACGATATGATACCGCATACACCACAGAACCTTTCAGCTATATCACAAACTGCAATGCAACATTGCAGGTACTTCCAAGAAAAGTAAAAAAAATACAAAATTTTAACAAGATGACTACAACATTGCAATAAAATTTGTTTTAAAATGTAAAAATATAATAAAGTAATTATAAAATAATATCAAACAACCTATTAAATGGCAATGTAGGAAAATATCGTAAATATAGATATTTCAACAATATCCTAATAATGTTGTAGCAGTATTATGCAATATAATTGTAATATTCCAATCTGACAGCAATACTTACATCTGTCCTATTTTACACTGAGAGGAATGTTTTGATAAGTATAACCATTTATTTTGTTGATATGTGAATAACAAAAACTTTCTTTCTTTTTCATTTAAAAATTATGTTGTTCTAATCAACATTTAGTTTTGAGATTAGAACAACACAATTTTTTAAATGAAAAAGTAAGAAAGTTTTGTTAGTCAATTATACATACTAAACATTTCTCTCAATATATCTCTCTATCCTATATCTATCTAATATCTATGTCTATCAATATCTTTATTTTCTGTGCTATACGGAACAAGACGATATGTCGATAATTTAATAAATTATTAAATGAAATTGTTATTTTGTCGAGTGAGCCTGTTGCAAAATTTCGCAAAGATTACCCCCTCCTTTATTATTCCCCTGAAATCACTCATTTATCGTCAGTATCTTGCAGAATAGGTCACTGAACACGATTAAGTATGAGGTGCTGCTGTTAACTGGATTACGTGAAACTTGAGTTTTCTAAAGTAATAAAGGGAAGCTCTCCAGCAAACTGATGAAATTCATAGCACTATGTACTGGGCATTGTAAATAAACCGAACAACTAAAGAGTATGATCGAGGTTCATTAATGTTCAGCACGAAAATGAGTCTTTAAACACATAATAAATTTATCACTATCTTAATTGATATATGACTGACTTTCATTCTCATACGTTATTTTTAGATAAATTTTTTGATACATTGTGATTATTAATATCGAGGGGATAACCACTTAATATAATCGTGGAACAGAGTCCTCGAAATCATTATAAAATTCATATGAAATCTCTATGTATAATCCGATAATTACATATGCAACCACGAGAAATCATTGTATAGTATTAAATAAAATCGTATATTTTACCAAATTACTTCATATATAACGAAAAAAATTACTTATCTGATAAAATCATATGAAATCATGTAATCTGTGGGTCAATATTTCAGCTAGTGGTTACCCCCTCGTTAATTGTATAAACGCAATGACTGATTTAAAAAATATAGTTCTAAATTAAAGCAAAGCTCTAATGGATAATAAATTTATTATTGATCGCTATATATGCAATATAAAAAAAATTGTATAATAAATATTAGTATATTGATTTGTATGCGTGTGGATGTGCTAAAAATTAAACTGTTATTTAAAAAGGATTAATATGTACACACAAATCATTCACTACATTTTGCTGGAATTTATATTTTCGTTAAATTTCGTGTTTATTTTGCATTTAATCATACGTTAAGATGTATTAATTTTTTCTGTTTTTAATATGTGCGATATTGCAAATATATATATATATAGCAAACTATGAGGTAGCGAATTAACGAACGTGTGAGGCAAAAACGTATTGTGTGTTGATAGAGGACAATCTATAAACGCTCTCGTTTTATTGATTTTTGGCTGTAGGCCAATTTTCAAACTAGCCATGACGAACAATTCAGTGATAACATTCCGATAATAGTCAGACTCACCTGACACGTTAACCAATCAACAAAGCCTGAGGCTGTTAAGCAGGACTGTATGCGTGCTTATTCAGAACCCTGACAAATGTCAAGCGGGGGTAAGATGACTTGCTAATTTCTTTTAAGGTAATAACAGATGACAAGACAAATTCATGAGATAAATTCATTAAACGCTTTAAATAATAACAAATCATCTCTTATAGTTTGATTTCCAATATATCCACAAAAATGGATAATATAATAAGAAATATATTTAGATATACTTACCTATATATAATTTTTTAGTGTTAGTTTATAAGAAATGACATATAACTGTAATAAATACTTTCTTTATAAAATCATAGTATAATATAATAAAATAACGAAATGTAGATTATATTTATTCGTGTATGTAGGTTATATTTTTTAATGTCAATTTAATTTAAGACATTTATTAATATCAATTGTAAATGTGACTACAAATTAGTTCTTTATTAAATATTGATTACCTATGTAAATAAATCCTATCATATGCAATTCACTAATATTTTTCTTATCTATTTTTCTTTAATTGCGTCCCTATTATAATATTAAAATAACATAAGAAGTATTTGTTACAATAATAAAATAAATTTTATTCGTAAAAAAATACGCTTTTAACTTTTTATAATTTTTCCCATTACTGAAAGTCATCTTACCCGCATATGAGGGCAAGATGACGAAATTAATACGTCTTGAAAAAATACAAATTTAAAAAAATTTTAAGTAATTTGTATATAATTTTTGAATATTTCAATAGTTTTTTAATTTTTACAGTTTAATTTTTATAGTTTCTTAATTTTTTTTAATTTTTTGATACCAAGGCTTTAGAATCTGAAAAAATACATTATTCTTTTTACGTTATCATCAAAATCAAGAAAAATCGACAAACATTAAGGTCGTCATCTTGCCTTTTTTTCTCCTATTTATATGTATTAATAATAATATTGACTTTTAAAAATGTACTTAATATTAAAAAAATTAAGAATAAGAATATCAATATATAAGGAAACTCTTCTTAAATTTTTCATAATTACTACTATTATACATTTATTATTAATTATTATAATGTAATAATGTAAAAATGCAAAGAGTCCTTTAATTTTTTCAGTTATATCATTTCCAACTAATAAAAAATGTTTAACGGTTTAAAAAACTACTAACATAGCATATTCACAACTTTTTTAATATTGTATATAATATTTAAAAAGAATAATTATACGGTTTTTATATGATTTTTTGTATAGTAAAACAAGAAAAGTAAACATTCTGTCATGATTTATTCTCTTTCTTACATACATATAAAAACATTTATTAAATCATATTACTTAATTCAGAGAAATGATTCATTAATATTTATTATTTAATACAACGTAAATTTAATAAATTACAAAAAATTATGTAACTTACAATTAGTTGAGGGATAAATTGAAAGGATTACTTTCAAGTGTTCTTTCTCATGAATGATTCTTTATATTGTCGTAATATATTCATAAAAATAAAAATTGAAATCGCGGCAACATAAATAAATTCTAATCGATTTAATAAATATAAATTGAAATATATGATTAGAAATTAAATCTTTAACTTTAAAATAAATAAAATTTGAAAACTAATTTTGTATTCAATAGTTTAATCGCGCATACGCATAATGCACCGTATGTTTGTAGAATGTTTAGAAATTTGTGTCAAAATCACCGTGTATATTTAAACTCCGAAATCACTTTAAACCTTTGTAAGGTAAACTATTCTGTTAAAAAGTGATTAACTCAATGTGTTTCCGCTGTATATTTTGAATCTTTTGTTTTACATTGCCCTGCAGAGCTACCATTGAACTTTCAACCACTCTCTATCTAGGCAATTGGGTATTCTTGTTGAATCCTCTCAATGTGATGGTCAATTTAACCCTTAACTGGAGTGGTGAAGACATCTCGCGTAACTGGAGCGCACGGGTTCATATACCCATGGTATCATTCATTTTCATATTGAAAATAGCAAATTTATTAAAAATAACTTTTTATCAATTCATATATTGGTATGATGCATTTAAAAAAAAACACATAAAAGCATTTAAAATGAGAAAAATATCAAGTATATTGGATATAAGAAAAAATACAAGTAATATCAAATAAAAATTCCTGGTAATTCTTTAACTCAAGAGGACCTCATTATAAACAAAAAATCTTTTAAGACATTAATAATAATAACAACAATTTTCAGTTTTACTTTTAAATCCACACTTCCAATTAAACGTCAATAATCATTATCCATTAGAGGATTAAACTTGTAGATTACGCAGAGATTAAAACTGTTTTGGAGAGAAAGATTATTTATTCATTGATTAAAAATTGGCATTACGGATTAAAACTAAATAAAATTGCTTTGAACAGATTAAAAATTGTTCAATCATTTACTAAAAATTGGTGACAAAGATTAAATTTAAAATTGCTTTAAAGAGATAAAAAATTGTTCGATCATTGATCGAAAATCGGCGAGTCATTGAATGATACATATAATAATAATAGCACGAGTTTAAAACTTTAATTTTTAATCTTAATTGCTATCCACGTTTTAACTTCGATTAATCAAATTTCAATCTCAGAGATGTAATCTCAATTTAATTTCCATCTTCAATGCATAGTTTGATAAATTTTATCGAATCCTAATTTTCTTACGTTCTAAATTTATGATATAGCCTTTTCACTTTCACGAAACAAGAGAAGATAATTTAGGGCACGCGGCAAATACGACATACCTTTTCAAGCTAGCTGCGCATCCCTAGCGTTACATCCCTGGCCGGTCTCTCGCGCACCCTCGATCGGAAAGCACGCATTTCCAGGGGAATGTTTTCAAGGGGTTAGTAACGTGGCGGCTCGGACAAAAAATGGCGGCAGCCGCGCCAAAGCGGGGGGGGGGGCGGGATGACAC